GAGGGAGGGAGGGAGGAGGAAAGGGGGAAGAAAGAAAGAATGAAAGACACAAAGAAAGAAAATACTCCAACTTGAGCAGTGCCACAAGCTCCAGCTCTAACTCTGAACAAAGAGCCAGTGAATTCCTTTACGAGCCAGCCAGGGAGCATGGAGCATGAGGCACAGCAGCCTGGGGACACCAGCCTTGGAGAAGCCGATGCGCGCCCCGCTGGATAGCAGCCGTTAGCAGTGAGCACATGAAGTCCCGCCTTATGGGGTTCCCCGGGGGCATCAGCAAAGCATGCAGATGACACCTGCTAAGGCCTGCAGGAGGGGGGAGGCAAGCTGGTGTAGAGTGGGGGGAGCAGGGAGCAAGGGCAGTGAGCGTGCAGGCTGAGAATGACTCCCTGGGTGCCCAGGTACAGTGACAAGCGGCAGTCACGCAGGACTCAGCTGGCACAGGACGGGCACCATGCGTCCACAGGTGTGTGTGGGGGAGCTTGCACGCAGCCACAGGCAGTACCGGCAGGCAGAACTCCTCAAAGGCTGGCTTCACGAAGGTGGTGTACTGGCTCAGAATCTGCTCCAGGTCCCGCCCTCGGTGCACGTCCCGCAGAACTGCAGCAGCGACAGGACATGCTCAGCCCTCTGCAGGCCAGCAGCCAGCCCCGCCAGGGCCGCGGGGCACAAGACCGCCTTACCCCTCCGAGACAGCCTCACGTCAGAGTCCGTGTCCACGAAGAGGCGCAGGTGGAACATGTCCCGGATCTCCTGGCTGTAGAACACCAGGATGCCCTCGAAGAGCACCACATCTGCGGGGTACACCACCGTGGTCTCCGGCAACCTGCAGGGGGAGAGCTTGGTCCCAGGGGTGCTGAAGCCATGTGGGGGACGGCGGAGGGCGGCCTACAGAGAGCGCCCTCGGCAGGGCGTGACCACCCGCTCACCTCGAGTGGGTCACAAAGTCATAGCTCGGGACCTCCACGGCTCTGCCCTCCACGATGCTTGTCAGAGTCCTGTGCATCAAGTCGTTATCGAAAGCGTCTGCGGGGACGGAGCAGAAGGCGACACCTAGCCGCCCTGTGCCAGGACGGGGGGACAGCTGCCCGGCCTCAGGGTCAGCACGGCTGGGCGAGGAGGCCCCTGAGGACCCACAAAGCATGCAGCGATGCCCCTGCGGTTCCCATCTGGGAGTGACCGTGACCGGGGACTGCAGGAAGCGTCCCGGAGCCCTCCGCAGTGCACTGCCCAGGTGGGGAGAGGGCCCAAAGTTCCCCAGGGATCCCCCAGGCTCCAGCCAAACCCGTGCAGGGCGTCCCGGCCCGGAGCGCGCCCGCCCCGCCGCGCACCCGCACGCTGCGCCCCCTCCGCGCACCTGGGTGGTCGAAGTTGTACTGGCCCTTCAGGGCCTTGGCCTTCTGCTCGGCGGTCAGGACCTTGTAGAAGCGGTCCTGGCTCAGGATGACCAGCTTGCGCTGCCGGTGGTCCACTTCGTTCTGGCCCAGCAGCTCCATGATCTTCTCACACACGGTGGTCTGCGGACAGACGCCGCCCGCCGCGGGGGTCGGGGCCCGCAGAC